CTCAGATATGAAGTGCACCCCAACCCCACTAATGTGCAGAATTCTTTCCTAAGCTGTCCCTATCAGTGGCAGCATCCTCTCCCTACACTAATAAGACCGCATGTGCGTGCGGCGCTACGTGACTCCAGCTTTTATATAAAGGCTGGGTCACATGCTGCACTGGCCAATCTCAGCCATTCCATTAGTAGGCATGGCTGTGATGGCTTCTAAGGGCACACGAGTCAGACGCTTGTTGATCGGCTGCCCTGCAGCCTTTCAAAACGCGCCATTAAATCGCCAAACACCGAACTCCAACCCGAACATACAGTGATTTGTCCGTGTTCAGGTCCGGGGTCCAAAAAACCTAATGTTCGGTACGAACCTGAAGTTTTCAGTTCGGGTTTGCTCAACTCTACAAAAAATGTATTCCCTCTTTTAAGAACGTATTATATAGATATTGCGTAAAAGAAAACTATTCCAAATTTTTTTTAAAAATACTTGCCTATTAAGGTTATTAAAGGAACAGTAGTGTGCGGAATACAAACATGTATTCCTGACACTATAGTGCTGGAACAAATCATGAGGTTCCCGGCTCCCCTCTCTGATTTTACACACCATTTCTCCCACACTGTGCCAGTCGTGCATAAAAAAAAACTTTAAAAAAACTTTTTTGTTTGTAACAGCTTTTGTTTAGATTGTCAGCTTTTGGATAAGACTCTCAAAATCCACTGTGTTTGTTGTGGAATGTGCACATATATAGTAATAAATTAATATGCTACTACTACTTATAATAATAATACTAATAATGATTTTCATGTGATTAATTCATGAAGAGTATATCCAATACAAATAAAGCTATATAAACACTGCCTTGAGTCTTTTTTGTTTAAATGTAAATTTATTGATGTTTTTACATGTATTTTAAATCTTTTAAGAGAACCTACATTAAAAAAATAAGCTATATATATATATATATATATATATATATTATTAAATCATTAATTCATTAAAATAAAATAATTAAAAGTAATAAACATATATGAAAACATTAGTAATAAAAAAAGAATAAATTGGGGAAAGAAAAACTGTCATTTTTCCATCTAGCATAGACCTCCAGGTGTCATTGTGTGAAGTAAGGATGTTAAAGGGACACTCCAAACACCAGAACAGTCTTAGCTTAATTATGTGGTTTTGGTGTATAAATCATGCTTCTGCAGTCTCACTGCTTAATTATCTGCCATTTAAGAGTTAAATCACATTGTTTTTGCAGCCCTAGTCACACCTCCTCTAGCTGACTGAGACTCACACAGCCTCCATAAATATTTCCTGAAAGTGTGCTGTAAGATCTGACTGAAAATGAATCCCTTTTTTAATGCAGGCTGTGTGAGTCAAAGACAGGGGAGATGAGGCTGGGGCTACATAAACAGAAACAAAATTGACTTAACTTCGAAATGACAGAGAATTTAGCAGTGTGACTGCAGGGTCATGATCTATACACCAAAACTACTTCATTAACCCCTTAAGGACGGTGGGTATTCTATGCCATCCTTAGGCTCTAAACGCCGGCAGGTGGCATAGAGTGCTGAAGCCTTCCTAAGTACTTACCCGGTCGCTGCCGATTCCAAGCCGTCGATCGGGGTGTGGGGACTCACCTGGCAGTCTAGGTAGTCCCCATCCTACCTTTCCGGCCCCCCTGAGCCATGTGATAGCGAGGTCCTTACGAGGCATAGCCTTCCATGTCATTGCCAGCACGGGGAGTGCCTGTAAGTGTGTGTGTATATATATATATATATATATATATATATATATATATATATATACATACACATAAATACACATACACTGTCTAAGTGTATTTTAATATTAATATATATATATATTAATATCAAAATACACATAGAATGATATTGATTAAATACATGTATATAATTATATATATTTATAGAAAATATAAAAAATAAATATGTAAATACGTTAAAAAAATAATAAATAAATAATATATATCTATATATGTGTGAGTAAATTCATTCTAACTGTATTTTAAAATTAATATATATATATTGATATAAAAATACATGTAGAACGAAATTATATATATATCTAAATACCTATATGTAAATAAAAATTATTTGAAAAATGATGTACACATATACATATATATACATGTATGTATGTATATATATATACACATATATATAATAATTCTACGTAAATATTTATGTAATAATTTTACATAATTAGGTCATTTTATTAATTACAATTTGCGGGACCTGCGTGACAACCCAGGCCAAAATATAATTGTTGTGATACATTTTACTCTTTTGAAGCACTAATATTTGTGTTCAGCGAAGTCTCTCGAGTATAACAGTACCCCCCATGTACAGATTTTATGATGTTTTCAAAAGGTACAGAGTCAAATATAAGGCTTGCGTTTCCGTTTTTTCACATTGAAATTCGCCAAGCTGGTTATTTTGCCTTTGAGACCGTATGGTAGCCCAGAAATGAAAATGATCCCCATGATGGCATACCATTTGCAATAGTAGATAACCCAAGGTATTGCAAATGGGGTATGTCCGGTCTTTTTTAGTAGCCACTTAGTCACAAACACTGGCCAAAATTTGCGTTCAAATTAGGTTTTTTTGCATTTTTCACACACAAACAAATATGAACACTAACTTTGGCCAGTGTTTGTGACCAAGTGGTTACAAAAAAGAATGGACATACCCCATTTGCAATACTTCGGGTTATATACTTTTGAAAATGGTATGCCATCATGGGGGTAATTCTTATTCCTGGGCTACCATACGGTCGCAAAGGCAACGTAACTAATCTGGCAAATTTCAATGTGAAAAAACTGATAAATGTAACATGCTATATTTGACCCTGTAACTTCCCAAAACACCATAAAACCTGTACATATGGGGTACTGTTTTACATGCGAGACTTTGCTGAATACAAATATGTGTATTTTATTGCAGTAAAAGCAAACAGTATTATGACATTCACAGTTAAAATTTCACATAGAACTAAAGTTTTTTTTTTAAAAATTCTTATTTTCTCCCATTTTTTAATATTTAATTCATATTAAATTATGTTTCATACCTAAATATTTGATGTTAAATGAAAGCCCTTTTTCCCCTGAATAAAATGATATAATAATAAGTGTGGGTGCACATAATATGAAAGAGGCGAATTACGCCTGAACAGACATATAGCGCAAATTCAAGTTTTTGTTTATGTTTTGTTTTGATCACAACGTGTACATTTGGCTCAGTTCTTAATCCCTTAACCCCTTAAGGACATAGCTTCAAAAGCTTGTCTTTCACTTAATGACAACAGCATTTTTTTCATTTTTTGCTGTTTGCGTTCAACTGTAATTTGCATTTGACTAATTTATTGCACCGACACATATTATATACCGTTTTTTAAAGGACAGAAAGGGCTTTAATTTGATGTAACACATATATATATATATATACAAATGCTTATTTAGTATAAAAAAAATACAGGAAAATGCCAAAAAAAAAAAAATGTGTGTTTTTTTTTTTTTACAGTTTTTGCAATAATAATGTGTGCACAGTTAGTGCAGGTTAAGGAAAGTAATTAAAAATAAATTCATTTAGCTGTTCTGATTTACAGAATATATAATGTGTCTGAGATTTTAAGTTTTTTCTGATAGTTACAGGTCACAAAGCACAAGGAGTAAAATAAACTTTTTAATGTGGAGCGATTTTAGAATTTGGTATGTTTGTCTTGTAAGCTTAATAGCCATAAAAGAAAACAAAATTGCCACACAAAAGTATATATTTATATAAAGTAGACATCACGGGCTGTTTACCTAAGGTTGTTTTGACACTTTCTACGTAGCCATTTCACCGCCAACCTCTGCTAAATATTGGAGTAAAATTGTGTGTTTTTTGGTTTTTGGCACACAAACTTATAACAAAGAAATTCTCATGTATATTTTGTAAAGTTGGTGTGTGCTATTCCTGTACAAAGTTTTATTTTGTGTTCAGTTACATCTGCTGAGTAAAATGACACCCCCATTATATATCTTTGGCACTATTTCGTGAAGTTACAGTGCCATATAGGAGGCCTGTTCTTTTCAGTATTCACAGTAGAATTTTGAGAGATGGATTTAATGAGCCTATGCTTCCATTTGGGGTATTATAACAGTTTGACTGTTCAAAAAAACCCCACAAAGGCCTACCTTTTGTAAAAGTAGACACTCCAGGGTATCTCATAAGGTGCATATTGTGCCTTAACATACCCCCATTTTTTCACCAATATATGCCAAAGTATGTGGTAAAAATAATTTTGTGTATTTTTTACATACGGATTGCATTTTTGCTGGGCATTTTGTATATTTCATATGTGCCACTAAGTTCAAACCTCCCAAATTATGCTCAGCTAAGTCTTCTGAGTAAAAAGACACCCCCAATGAATGTCTTTGGCACTATTTTGTGAAGCTACAGTGCCATATAGGAGATAAAAGCCATTTTTTCTGCCTTTTTGACATACAAAGTGAGTTTCGCAGCATGTGTGCTATGACTGTATAATACTTCATATGTTGCTCAGCTATGTCGGCTGAGTACAGCAATACCCCCGTATGTACCTTTGCCAGGTATATGTGGATGTTGAAGGGGCGCATTTGAGACGCAGCCATTCAGTTTTTTTCTAACTTTGAAGTTTTACGCTGTGTCCATGTTCCAATTTGGAGTAGTTTAGACGGTTGGTTATTGAAACTTCCCCACAAACACATACTATTTATTAAAGAATACACCCTGGGGTAATTCAAAAGGCATATTTTGAACCTTGGCGTGGGATAATTTTTTCTCTAGTTTGTTCCAGGTGTAGTGGTAATGAGCGTTTTTAAATGTTTTTTTTACTTTTTTAAACTTTTTTTACTTTTAAAAACTAGTTTTTAAACTTTTGTTTTGCTTATTAATTTTTTTTAAACTTTCCTAAACTTTCTTAAAACTTTTTTTTTACAGATTTAACATTTTTCTAAGCTTTTTTTTTACCATTAACCCCTAACTAGCAGTAAGCAGCACTAACAGTAAATTCCCTATTTTCCCATAACTCCCACCCACCCCAGCTAGCAAAATAGATAGTTATAAAATATTTAAATTAATTAATTAAATAAATTGAACCCCTGAGGGTTAAAAAATTAATAAAAGTTAATCCTCAGGGGTTAAAAAAAATTAGATCACAGTATAATACTGTGATCTGTATTTGATCACTGTAGGCAGTGATCGACTGGCAGGGAAGGGGTTAATTTTTATTTGGACTGGGTAAAGGGTTTATTTTTTTATTTTTTACTTAAACTTTTTTTAAGCTTAATTTTTTACTTTTTAAAGTTTATTTTAAAACTTTTTTTTTAACGTAACCCCTAGATAGCCTAACGCCAAATCCCCCAATTCCCCACTAACTTCCACCCACCCCAGCTAGCTAAATATATAATTTTAAAATAATTAAATTAATTAAATAAATTTAACCCCTGAGGGTTAAAACATTTTTTACAAAATCAGATCATTGTAAAATGTAATCCCTGCCAATTGATCACAGTAGTCAGTGATCAATTGACAGGGAAGGGGTTAATTTTTTATTAAAATGGGTAAAGGGGGTGGGATTTTAAATGAACTTAATTTTTTTTTCCAACAGGGGGCAGGATCATCACTGTTCCGGCTCCCTGCACTTC